ACCAGCATGTCGTCGAGCCGATCATCACCTATGCTGCTGGTGTATGGGGGCAAGCGGCTCTTAAGAAAGGTATCAAGAGGAGACTGTTGAGTATGCAGCGAGGATTTGCGATTCGAATTATTAGGGCGTTTAGGACTGTGTCCACTACTGCAGCGATCGCGTTAGCAGAACTCACTCCCTTGGACCTTAAAGTTCTCGAAGTTTATCACCTTGAGCAAACGCGACTCACAGGATCTACGCATCTTCTGCGCAGTGATTTGTCTCTTGAGCGTCCCACCCCGCCTCATAAGTTACTCCACCCTGCTGTCAGAGTCTCCATCACTTCGCTTCCTTATTCATCTCTCACCACTTCACAGTCATCCCTCACCATTTATACAGATGGAAGTAAGCTGGAGAATTCTGACACCGGGGCCGCTTTCGTCGCATATTCTGAAAATAAGCAAATCGCTGTTAAGAAGTTCAAACTCCATCGGTCCTGCTCGGTCTTTCAGGCCGAGCTTCTCGCCATCCTCAAAGCCTGCACGTGGGCTAACTCGTTTCATCCACATTCACACATCACCATAATAACCGACTCCCAAGCGGCCCTTGCCGCATTGCGAGATCGGAGCAACACGCACCCTCTGGTCTCACAAACTCACGCACAAATCCATTCGCGTACATCCGGTTCGTTGAGCTTCGTATGGGTCAAGGGACATATAGGCGTAGACGGGAACGAGGCGGCCGACTCCGCGGCGAAATACGCTGCCGCCTCGCACTCCTCTTTATCCTACGCTTCATATCCCATGTCTTTTGTCAAGCATAACATCCGCGCTGAACATAACCGCATATGGCAAGCAAGATATGAGAGCTCATCTCAAGGTCGTCATACGATTTCTCTTCTCCCTAAATTAACTGATATCACCAGATTTAGACAGCTAGTCAAAACTTCCTTTCATATTACCCAAATATTAACAGGACATGGCTATACAAAGCAATACTTGCATCGCTTCAATATAGCCGCTGACGACGCTTGTCCCTGTGATGATTCTACTACGCAGACTTTTGAACATCTTCTAGAACACTGCCCCAGATTTAGCCCGAAGAGACTAAATCATGTCTTGCTTTGCAACAATCTAAGATTGCCCCCATTTAACATATTAGAATTGTTAAAACACGAATCGGCCATCAGTTCATTCGACACTTTTGCAAAACACATTATCACCAACCTTAAAGCTTTCAACGGCCAACTAAGATCATGACAGACTACTTGCGTCCACTAATTAATTAATATTACCTCACCTTCACAAGTCTTCAACTCCCACTAGTACATTTATCACACTCGCCTCACCTCCATTCCATTGTCCGTGTATATAGTTGTCAATTCATCATTACCACATTCATCATCATCAATTCACCTTGTTCCCCCATTGACATTCGAGTAATCCTGCGGATGTGGTGTATGGATAGCCGTATCAAATCGCGTCTGCCATTCCCGCTGCCGCAGGGGCCTATGTGGGAACCTTGTCATATTCATTAGCAAACGTCCACGGTGGGAGAAGCTCACGTATCTAATAGCGGAAGCTCTCCCTTCCGTCGACATCAGCGCAAACACATAGATAAGAAATTAGCGATCATTACCGCATATGTTAGTATATCATACCACTGCGAACCAACGAAAATAAAAAAAAAAAAAAAAAAAAAAAAAAAACCTAACCTAACCTAACCTAACCTAACCTAACCTAACCTAACCTAACCTTTTGACAACATCTTTGAGAGCACAGCCTGGAGCCGACGCCAGACTTCTTTGAGACCAGTGGAGACTGACGTCGGAAATAGATCCCCCCTCCAAGGTGTCCACAACCTGTGTTCCCGGCCAAACCCTTTTTCCTTATGGTGGTCCCTTTCCCTTTCTTCACCCACAACACCAGCGGCAAAGCAGGTGTGCTGCACAAAGATGCAACATCTCTGCGCAGTTTCAGTGGGTCAAGTCGGACAGTAAGGCGTTGACTATCGATAATTCGAGCCGCCCGACTTTGAATGCGGTCTAACGGAAGGAGTTGGTACTGTGGCGCTCCTGCCCACAGGTGAGAACAGTATTCCATATGCGGCCTGACTTGGGCTTTATATAATTTCAGGCGGTGTTCTGGCATGAAATATCGTCTCACCCTATTGAGCACTCCTAACTTTTTGGAAGCTATCTTAGCCTTCTCCTCCAGATGACCGCAAAACTGGACGTCGCAAGATATATCAACGCCCAGAATTCCTAAACTCGACTTTTTATCAAGGAAAGTGCCCTGAAATTGAGGAGATACGACAAACGGCGTCTTTTTTGTGGTAAACGCGCAGACTTGTGTCTTTTTGGGGTTAAATTGGACAAGATTTTGTTCACCCCAGATCGAAACTTGATGGAGTGAAGTTTCGATTTCAGACACAAGTGTATTCCGGCACTCATCGGTATGTGCCCGCGAGATCTTTGCATGACCGGTATATAATGTATCTCCTGTACTGTCATCTGCATAGCAGTGAATATTACTTATCTGTAACATATCATTGATATGCAGAAGAAACAGAGTCGGAGATAGTACACAGCCTTGCGGGACACCAGCATTCAAAGGTTTTAAATCAGAGCATGCTCCGTCGACTACGACCTTAATGCTAAGTTCCTTGAGAAAATAGATAATTTGAGCTGCTCCATAGCGGGTGGTGCTTTCTGCAATTAAGTTCTGTTGACCGCTATCATATGCTGTCTCATTTCCTCTCTTATTTATCTTTCTATAAGTGTATATATATATATATATATATATATATATATATATATATATATATATATATATATATATATATATATATATATATATATATATATATATATATATATATATATATGTATGAGATGTACATTCAGGTGTACAGCTAGGTATGCACACGTGAATATATATCTCTCTCGCAATGGACTGCTCCCTCACACGCACACGCACGCACATACGCATGCATGCACGCACCCACCCACGCACGCACGCACGCACACACACACACTGTAAAGAATGTTGGGTTAGGTTAGGTTCAGGGTTCGGGAGGTTGACGGCGGTAGAAGTGTGAGAAGTAGGTGAACAACTAGGGGGGTAACAAAACTATAAGACGAGAAAACTAATGAAAATCTACAAAATTACGGAAACTATTTAACTTTGTTCTGTTAGGTATGAATCAAGCAAAACATGCTCAAATTCAAGGCTCAGCTTTTCGGCTATAGAATTTGATTACTTAGGCGAAATGTTACCTAATTGCACTTTGCTTAAAAGCCAAGTTACGACTTTGTATTTGGGCAGGGACAGCGTGGCACGGATCGTATGTATCTACACCGAGGCAGGTGTGCTTTGTAGACTTCTTAAAAGGGTCGTCCCCATCTGTTTAAGAGGGGAGCATGTGCAAAACGCACATTTTTACAGTTATATTTTTAATTGGACTCTCATACTCAGGTTTAGCTCGCCCACTGTTTTCCCCATTCCTTCGCCAAGTCAAACGTTCTATGTACTTCGGTTTTGGCAATCTAATAGGGCCGATGATGATTTTAGCCGCTGTGGTGGTGAATTTGTAAATTTCTTGTGAGTGGGTGAGTCACTATTTGCAAGTTTTTTTTTTACCTTTTGAGCCTCGAGAGTTAGTGCCAACTTCCATCGGAGTTGAAGTGGATGTATATAATTTAACGTCGTATTGTTTAGTTGTGTATCTACTCGTTGCCCGTACAACGTAGCCGAAGTGAACCAGTGTAGCTTAACAGTATACACAGTATTTTGAAGTAGAGTAGATCAAACTGAGATCAATGCCACAAAGTACATCGGCATTCGCTACTCGTGTACTGTACGTGTCAGCTAATTTGTGTAATGTATCGTTACACGTTTGAAACTTGCTTCCAAATTTTTGCAACTGCAGTACATAGGCGAGGCTTTGGTCCGAGGTAATATCTAGGCATTTTAGTTTTGGATTACACAATACTTTACCATTTCTTATAAAAGTGAACTTCAAACCGCTCTCCTTGAATGTGATTTTTTTTTTTTTTTTTTTTTTTTCACTTTTAAGATTGTATGTAGTCAGTGGATTTGTCTAAGATAACAGGCTGCCGCAAGGTGCGGCGGTCCAGCAGGGCTTGTTAACGTTATCAACTAACATAATGTTATTAAACGTTATTTTCATAAAAATACTTTTGTAACGTTATAAATGTGTAACGTTATTTATAACGTTACCTTACTAACGATACTTTTACCGTTAATCCCTTCCATTTAAAATAAATCCTTTTTTCCACTTTCCATCTTTGTGAATCAAAGTATTTTTTTCTGATTTTTGATTAATATTAGAAATTTTATAGTTTTGATCTGTACTTGTAGTCGATTCGGTTGACTAACATTCCGCGCCCCCGCGGGTTAACACCGTCGCTCGCTGCGGTTGCGCTATTGCCATTTCACTATACATATGACTGTAGTTCAAAAAGGTCTAGATCTTTGTCGTAACTTTTACACAGAACTGGTCGAGCATTCACAAGCATAGTATCTACACAGAACTAAATAAAGTTGTCGCTTAATTTAGCTTTATCATCTTCACAAGGAAAACTTGTACAATAGAAAACATGTACTCACTTTTAATAATTTTTTTTTACGTTAGTAATTATCTGGCAGTCTAGTACGAACGAACACTTTCATGCAAATGTCCAATGTCTTTACTCCACTCCCTTCACCCATACGCAATGCAAGCTCAGCGGCCCAGGGAGGGTTGTACGTATTGTACAATACTGTTAACGTTAACAAAATAACATTAATATTAACAATACGTTGCTTTTAACGTTACCTTGATTTAACGGTAAATATTACGTTAACATCAGTTGACGTTAAATTAATGGCATTTTTTGCTAACGTTATTCTGTCGAGCAGGAGGTAACGTTACCAAATATTTAACGTTAATCAAGCCCTGCGGTCCAGTGGTCCAGTGGTGCAGTAGTTCAGTGGTGGTGTATAATAAAACAATGAAAATGATTTTATTAAAAATTTATTAGGTTCGTGTCAAAACTTAGACAACCTTTATGTAATTACAAATAATTTATATTTTATAAATAAAAAAAAAAAAAAATGCATTGTTGTCATTGTAATAACGTTTGTTTGGTCGTCATGTAGATATCGAGAGGAGTACAGACGTACAGACAGGATACATCACGACGCGGTCGCCGAGTACGATACGATGCAACCGGGTGCGACGCCACGCCGCCGACACACTGGTGTCGTCCCTCACTTGCAGGACTCACACAGCAGGGGAGTGTGTACATTGTACACTATACACTGGACACGAGCTGTACCCAGTTACATCATATCGCCGAAATTTTTTTATACATATAAAAATAGATTACTTAATTAATTTCTATTCTAAAAAGAAGTTATTTACTATTAATATTATTTATTTATTACATAATTTATATAAATGCATAGTTTAAAGTTATGATATGAACCTACAGTCAGAGCACCATTATAATTTATAATAACAACACCCGGCGGCACATTATACACGTCACGTGCACGCGTGTGCGTGCGTGTGCGTGTGCGTGTTCGCGTGCACGTGCACGTGCACGTGCGACGCGTGGCTACACTACCAGCGTACGTGTAGTAATGCGTGGCTGCTAGCGGTTGCGTGCCGCGTGTGCCGCGTCAGACGCCAGCTGGCCGCTCGGCAGCCAGGCGGCAATCTTTGAATGTACATTCAACAATAATTATTTACATGTACATACACTTGAAATGATTGCCACTAGATCGCTAACGGCAGATTGGCACTCGGCCCACCTGAACCTACGTGCTTCACACTGAGTAACACACACTCACAAATGAGATCCGTTACTACTTTACATTCAAATATTTTGTGTAGCAATAAAAAAAAAAGTAGAAATAAGTTTTTAATTAGTTACAATAATTGTTGTTAATTACGGACAATAAAATAAAATTAAAAAAAAATTAAAGTAAACAGTATGTACGCATTATTTTAACAATTTAAATAAAAAAAAAACAAATCTTTTAATCCTTACGTATGTATCAGAACGTAATACTGATGACCGTCAACAGATTTTTTTATCTGAATCCAATAATGTGAGGTAACACCTCAATAATTTCTGCAAAGTAATTCCGTAAGCAGTGATAATGACCAGTCAGTGTGATTACACTTGAAATGTTTATACTTTAATAACACTTCCTCACAAACCATTTGATGTGCTCATGTGAATCATAGTAACATAACAAGAATGTGACGATCAGATTGGAAAGTGAACAGGCAGAGTGCAGAGCGCACGCCACTGTCGGGAGTAATACTTTACAATATTGCTATACACTTATATACAAAAGACAGTGAGCTTTAAAGTCCTTAAATTTAACGAAAACCTCCGCGTATCAGGTAATTTGATAAGATTACAAATTATATGGTGTTTAAAAAAAAAAAAAAAAAAAAAAAAAAAAAAAAAAAAAACAATTGCTACCGCCTAGCAAAAAAGCACTGTGCATTTTATAATTGACCATTAGTCCAAGTGGAATGTCATATGGAAGGGCTTCGTTTGGACATTTTGTAAATGATGTTTATAATTATGATCCAAAATAAGAAATAACGAATCATAATATCAATAATAATAACTATCAGGTATCTGTTTCGTACGGGAAACGCAATATAGGGCATTGTATGTCAGTCCTCAGGAATGGCAACGCATGGGGGGTATCATGGGCGAAACAGTATACTCTGTTATGTCCATGCTACTGCTCATGTCTATAGGCGACGGTTACCACATTCCATCAGGTGGGCCGTCAGCTTGTTTGCCATTTTAAGTATTGTATTTATGTGGTTCGGCTCACACATGACGTGTTTTTATTTTAAACACCATATAAGAAGGTAATGCCAACATTTTCTGTACAATTAAAATACATATATTTTTAATACAAAAATTGTGTGACAAGGATTTACGGTACGCACGTACATACTAATTATTTACATTTCAGTTAGACTTACAGCGGTATTTATTCCTTTATATTTAAATATCTAACACATTGTACACGGATCGAAATTGTATCTATTTGATATACAAGTGGGTGCCTACATGTCGACAAGTGCATGTCGACAGCGCCACGTCGCTTTATTGTATTAACGTTTATACATTGTAGCCATTTCATTACTTTAAGAAATATTTGTTTTTATAAAATGAAATAGTTGTAAGAAAGTGACCGAGTCGATTCGAACAGGGAAGTAACAACAGTCCACTCGCAGGATGCCGCATCCCGTGCGCGGCGCCAGCCCACGCGGTGTCATAACTGTTAACTATCTGTTTACTGAGATCGGCGCGTGTACGGCGGCTTCGGTACATAAAAATAATAATATTAATATATACTCGTAATAGGTACTTCGTGTTACATACTGTCGTGGTGTTCCTCACGCACACCTGCCACACAGTCGACGGGCACACGGGGAACATTCACACCGGCAGCGGCGCCCGCTCTAATCTAAAGAAACTAACAACAATCGCACTCGCACGCCGTATTTACATGGTCCAGGTACTCGTTCAAAGACATCGGGAGCCGTCGCGGGCGGTCGGCGGCGTACTCATATACACGCTAATGACTAATCAGTCGGTGCGGCTAGAGGCCGCGGGGCGCGGGGCGGGGCGGCTCGCGGGCCGCGCGCCGCCGTCACACGTCGGTCTGCCGCGGCGGCGCCGGCGGCGGCGGCGGCGGCAGCGGCGGCAGCGGCGGCGGCGGCGCCTCCTCCTCCGCCTCCGACTCCTCGATCTCGCACAGGTTCGTGGACAGGTCGCTGCACGAGCCCGCGTCCGCGCCGCCTAGGAGCGAGTTCCGCTCTTCTGCAAAAGTTTCATTACATTCACGTTACACGTAACGTCAAGTGTGCTGAAGTGTAGACCCGCAAGAAGGGGCGCGGCGGCCGGCCGAGCGCGTACCGAGCATGGTGATGAGGCTGGCGGCGTCCGGCTCGCGCAGGCCGCGCGCGCGCAGCGGCTCGGCGGCCGCGCGCGGCAGGTACTCGTCGGGGTGCAGCAGGTACGCCGACGCTGCAAGCAGGCGCGGCCGTCACTACCCCGCCGCCACACCCGCACCCAGTGCGGACGCGGCCGCGGAGCGAACGAGTACCACTCACCATCGGGAAAATGTATGGAGTCGCAGTTTTGGTCGAGGTCGAGGTCGAGGTCGTCGGGCGCGGAGTCGGTGTCGAGCGGCGGCGGGCGCGGGCGCGGCGCGGGCGGCGGCCGCGCGGGGCGCTGCGAGCGGCGCGGCGACGACGACGGCGGCGACGGCGGCGACGGCGGCGACGACGAGTCCGGCCGCTCGGAGCCCGGCACCTCGCTGATGCCGGGCAGCGCGCCGCCGCCGCCGCACCAGTCCGAGCAGTCCCAGTGGTAGCCGCCCACTAGGTCACCCCCGCCACCGCCACCGCCCACGCCCACGGCCACAGGCCGACGGAGGGGGCCCGGGGATCGCGCTCGAGGACGACTCTTACATCCTTTTAAATCTGTAGGAAAGCAATGTCTTACAGTAGAACAAGTGAGAAAGGAAAGGAATCGTTTCTAGTCGGCTGCAGCACGGCACTCCATTATCCACAATCTCTTAAAGGTGCATTTGCAGGCTTCAGGTTAGTCGTTGTTTGCTTCACATACTGCGAGGACATGTGTACCTGTGCGTTCAGCCCAGCCCAGATAACTAAACTTGTACCATAACATGGTAACGGTTGCGTTTCAAAGCGCTAGCAGTTGTCTTATCTAGTTCCGCATGGTTCTCGCTGAAAACTATCATGGGCAAGACTGCGCATAGTATCCTACGATTGGATTAGCAATACTCGCGATATCGTATCCAGCGACCAGTCGGACGTCCTTTCGAACATAGGAGCCGCTACATCGACACGGGAGCGCGACGGGCAACCTGCACGAAATGCTCACCATTATATATCTTATTGTCGACGAAGGTGTGCAGGTGCATCTGCTCGGACCAGGGCTTGCGGTCGTGCGCGGGGTCGATGTTGAGGTTGCGGCGGTAGTCGGGCGGGATGCCCTCGAGCTCGTCGCCGGCCGAGCCGTAGCTGCGCAGCGTGTCGACGTTGTTGAGCGGCGGCGGGTCGGCGCACGAGGCGGGCCGCTCGCGCCCCGCCACCGCCTCCAGGTTGGAGAGCTTGGAGCGCGGCGGCGGCGGCGCGCCGAGCTTGTGCGGCGGCGCGGCGGCGGCGCGCCGGCCGGCGCGGGCGCGCGCGCGGCGGCGCAGCGCCAGCGGCAGCGCCACGGCCAGCAGCAGCAGCGCCAGCAGCACGCCGCCCAGCGCCGCCAGCGGCCAGCGCGCCGCGCACGCCCACAGCCACGCGTCTCGCAGCGCCCGCGCGCCGCCGCCGCCCGCGCCGCCCGCCACCACCGCGTCCGAGTACAGCGGGTTGCCGCAGTTCATGCCTGCACACGGTAGTAGTGGTATAACGCACTCGCGTACCGACAGACTGTAGAGTCGACGTAATCTTAAAAAAACGCTCACTCGCTCGACTATCACGAATCGACTACTGCGACTAGCGCAACTTAGTAATCGCATAACGCGCGCAGCGGACAGCGCACTGCGCTTACCGGTCTTATCCGGAGGACAGAGACACCGGAAGGAGCCCGGCTCGTTGAGGCAGGTGGCGCCGTTGAGGCAGGGCTCGCCGGCGCACTCGTCGACGTCGTACTGGCAGCGCGGGCCGTAGTAGCCGCGGCAGCGGCACGACGGCGCCCACTCGCCCTCCTCGCAGGCGCCGCCGTGCAGGCAGGCGCCGGCCGCGCACCAGCGGCCGCGCTCGCAGCGCTCGCCGCTCAGGCCGGCGGCGCAGCTGCAGCGGAAGCCGCCGCCCAGCGCGACGCAGGCGCCGCCGTGCAGGCAGGGCTGCGCCGCGCACGGGTCCGAGTCCAGCTCGCAGCGCGCGCCCGCGAAGCGCGCGTGGCACTCGCACGAGTAGCCCTCGGCCGCGTCGTCGGCCTCGCTCTCGAGCAGCGGCGGCGTGTCGCGGCACGTGCCGCCGTTGAGGCACGGGTACGAGGCGCACGGCGTGGGCGGCGGCAGCGGCGGGCACGCGGCCGCCAGGCGCGCGCGCACGCGCCGCACGAGCTGCGCGCGCCCGTCGCCCGACGTGCCGCCCTCCTCCAGCGGCAGCGCCGCGCCGCTCGCGCCGCCCAGCCGCACGTCCCACATGCAGCCGTGGAAGCCGTACGTCACCTGTCGCGAGATGCGGGTGCATCGTTACCGACCAAACATTGTAAAAATTTCGAATCGGAGTGACTAGAGAAGCGAAGATAATGAACTTTCATCACCATCATCTTTTTAGATCATCATCTTTTAAGCCATTATCAGTCCCCTGCTGGGCGATACCTTCCTTACAGACTGCCATAAGGAACGGTCCGGAGCCACCTGCTTAAAACTTTATCTAAAAGTACTCACCGATCTAGCTATCCGCCTTAACTTTAAGCGTTTGCCGTTATCGCAGGCCAATTTCTTACATTCAGATAAAACAAAAAAATGATATTATCTAAAAGCTAGATAGAAATAATGAGGTCGTTTCACCTGTTCGGGAGCCAGGGCGTGCGAGTGGCGCTGCAGCGCGGCGCCGAGCAGCAGGCGCGGCTGCGCGTCCAGCACGGCGGCGGGCGGCGGCGTCTGCGCGTGCGCGCTGCGCCGGTCGACGGTGAGCCGCATGGCGGCGCCGCGCCGCTCCAGCCGCGCCTCGTGCCACGCGCCGTCCGCCACCGGCACGCTCGCGCGCACCAGCGCCGGGCCCGAGCCGAGCTCCATGCGGAACTGCAGGTAGCCCTCGGCCACCTCGAGCACCGCGTAGTCGACGCGCCCGGCCGCGTACAGCAGCGTCCCGCGCTCGCGCCGCGTGCGGAACCGGAGCGATATCGCGAGAACGTCGTCAGGCGTCCGCTCGCCGTCGACGACGCCGCGCTCGAGGCGGTACTGTAGGTAGCCGTCGCCGGCGAAGTACGCGACCAGCGGCTGTGCGCGGCAGTCCCCGGAGTCGCAGCAGCCGTCGCCGCAGTCGGCGGCGACGAGCGCGCGGTCGCAGCGCTCGCCGCCGAAGCCCTCGCTGCAGGCGCACTCGCCGACGAGGCGGTGCGGCGGCGCGACGAGCGCGAACACGTCGGTGGCGACGGCGCGCACGGCGGCGGCGCGCAGCCGCACGCGCTCGCCGCACGCGCCGTGCACGCAGCCGCCGCACGTCACCCTCACCAGCTCCTCCACCACTAAGCGAGCGCGCTCCTCTAATCGTTCGATGTGGGCGTGGAGCCGTCGCCGCAGCGCATCCGCTGGAAGGAATCCACCGCTGCCAGACGACGCGCGAACTGCGAACGCTACGTCAAGATCTTGCGCGATTTGTCGCTTTTCACGACTCGACTCCTGGTCGCCGACTTCGTCTCCGGAAGGTTGTACGCTCACGATAACGACGTCGGTGCTTTCGCAGTCGGTAGCCTCGGCCACGGCGCGCACGAAACCTTTTCGATGACTGAGTACAAAATCACGATCGGTGACCTCACGAAACCGCACGACTATTGCTTGTGCGAGCATTTCATCCGACACGAGGATAACATTAACTCGAACGATTGCAAAACCATAGAATCTGCCATCGTTTACGCTGATGTTTAGACGATATTCTCCTACGTCCAGTCGTGGCGCAGCTCGCAGAGTGCCGTCAGAAGCGTCGATTGTGAAAAGATCTGTAGGAGGGTATGGAGCTCCGTCGACAGGTTTTATCTCATAGACAAGAGTATCATAGGCATCTCGGTCCGAGGCGATCACGCGGCCAATATTGCCACCGGGGAACTCGTCCAGGTACGAATTAACGACAATTTCCAGGGGTGTCACTACCGGTGGATACTGAGATTCTTCTATCACTCGTATATAAACCCAAGCATCAGAAAACAGAGGTGGCGTGCCGTTGTCGAACACTCGCACCTGCAACGTATAACGATCTCTGATGCGATGATTGAAGCGTGTCGCTGAGCGCAATATACCATCTTGTTCGAGTCGGAAAGCACCAATTTCGTTTCCAGATTGAAAGTCAAAGGTAAAAGGAGCGGCATTCGGAGGTGCATCAGCATCTGTGACGGCGAATTTGAGGATCGTATGCCCGAGAGGTCGATCTTCTTGAACTACTGCCGTATAGTTACTCTGTGAAAACAAAGGTGGGTTGTCGTTCGCATCTACCACCTCTACGTTGACGAGGGCCGTCGCTTCTAGGGAAGGTAAACCACGGTCTCGAGCACGCACTTCTAGCACGTAAGCGGGAGTCGATTCGCGGTCCAGAGGAGCCGCAACGGACAGGTATCCCGTGTCGCCGTCGATCGAGAAGCGACCGTCCCGATCGCCGCGTAAAATCGAATAGGCGACGCGGCCGTTGACACCGGAGTCGGCGTCGTCGGCGATCACTTGCAGCACGTGTGCTCCCACCGTGGCGTCCTCGCGCACCCGAGCTCCGTACGACGGTTGAGAGAAAACTGGCGCGTTGTCGTTGCTGTCGGAGACGGTGATGTTGATAGCGGCGAGGTCGCTCAGCGGCGGCGAACCACCGTCTATCGCCTGCACGGTGAGCATGTACTCGCGCCGCCGCTCGTAGTCCAGCGGGCGAGCTACGGTGACGGCGCCGGTGGAGCGGTCCACGGCGAAGTCGTCGCGGTCGTCGCCGCCGACGAGCGAGTAGTAGACGTCGGCGTTGACGCCCGCGTCCTGAGAGGTGGCGCGCACGCGCACGACCTCGGTGCCGGGCGCGTCCACCTCGGGCACGACGGCGCGGTACTGGTGGAACTCGAACTCGGGCGGGTTGTCGTTGACGTCGGCGACGGTGAGGCGCACGCTGGCGGTGGCGGAGCGCGGCGGCCGGCCGGCGTCCCGCGCCGCCACCAGCAGCCGGTGCTCGGCCTGCGTCTCGCGGTCCAGCGGCGCGCGCAGCGTGATGATGCCGCTCTCGGCCGCGATCTCGAACGCGCCGCTCGTCTCTCCCTCGAACGAGTATCGAATCAGTCGATTCTCACCGATATCAGCGTCGGTCGCGTGAACCTGTAATTTGGCATTATCGTGTCAATGTTGCGTACCATCGCTGCGGGAAAGTCCTCGGTGAACGATATGTCTTTAGACATTTGCAGCATATATTATAGTAGATTTTTTATACTACAAAGGTGGCAAATGAGCATGTGGCCCGTCTGATAGTAAACGATCACTGTAGCCTGTACATCGTTTTTGAAGATGTAGTAGAAAGATTTACGTTACGTCACGTACCTTAGCGACCAGCGTGCCGATATCTGCATCCTCGGGTAGTGTAACACTGTAAGTGTCGGCGGAGAATCGCGGAGCGTTGTCGTTGACATCGTCCAGCGTGAGCTGCAGCTCGGAGCTGCACTCCCACTCGGGTCGCTCGCGGTCCTGCGCGTGCGCCAACAACTTGTACGCGCTCACCGACTCGCGGTCCAGCTCGCTGGCCACCGTCACCACTCCGTTTTCCTTCGTTAAATGTAAAAGCAGATTTATTTACTTTATTTGTTTATTAAGGTTCATCTACAATTTTTTATATTTTACGCACTACTTGATTTGTAACATAAAAATTAAATAACGTAAAAGTTTAGGAACAAAAACTTTTTAGTTAGTTTAAAAGATTATGTCTAAGATTTTCTTTAATACTTTGTATTTGAAATTAATGCCAAACAAATACTTGTGGGTGTTTATAATCTGGGTACAGGCAAGTTCGAGTTATAATACTATTTTTCCCATCATATAAGTTATCAGCTTTTGTGGAATTTTAAAGTTAAATAACTGAAGCGTTTAAATTGTACATTATATATCGTTAGAAATGTACTCGGAACATACTCTGAATGACTGGAAACATATTTCAGTTCCGGAGAGTATGTAGGTGGCTCACCTTGTTTATGGCGAAGTGATGCGCATTGTCGCCGGTGAGGTAGTATCGCAGGCCGCCGTCCTGCGGCTCGTCCGCGTCGGCGGTGGCGAGCTGCATGACGCGCGTGCCGTTGGCCGCGTCCTCGGGCAGGCGCGCGTAGTAGCGGTGCCGCGGGCAGTACGGCGGGTTGTCTGCGAACGAGACGCGCTGTAGCGTGTGTGTGCAGGGGAGAGGCGGGGTGGACGCGGGAGGCGGGAGGCGGGAGGCGTCACTCACCGTTGACGTCGCGCACGGCGACGGCGACGTGCGTGGTGGCGGTGAACTTGCCGTCGGTGGCGGCGACGGTGAGCGCGTAGTGCGGCTCGCGCTCGCGGTCGAGTGCTCGCGCCACGAACAGCTCGCCGGACGGCCGCAGCTGGAAGCGCGCGCGCGGGTCGCCGTCCGCCACGAAGAAGGTCAGCGCCGCGCCCGCCGCGTCCGCGTCCGTCACGCGCAGCCGCGCCACCACCGTGCCCGCCGCCGCCGCCTCCGACACCTGCACACGCGCATACACACTCACACACGCAGCTCAGCGTACTGCTCACGTTGCGACCCTTTTATTAGTTCAGATTCCCTCTATTACCACACTCCGGCGAAGTATTCATATAGGGAAATGTCGGAAACTAGAGTATATGTAGAACTAGATTAAAAAGAGCGAGTCCTGCCATACAGGTCATATTATTTAGATGTTGCTTGCAGCATTTCGCACTGACGCGAGAATTGGGAATAACTTCTACTAAAGTCATGCCTCAGTACGGAGCACAAACATTAATTAGAGTATATAATCTGAGTAGAAGTGACATTTACGGACTCATGTTCGTTTCTCTCACTCAGATAGGGTAGTTAAGAATTCTCATCTTATAAATAAATTTAAAAATAATCTTTTATGTATATTGAAAAAGTGGAAAAAGAATCATAAGTGGCGTCCTTGTACAGACAAACGCAGAGTAGAGCGATCCACTACGATGATACCCTCCTCTTCTTGATGCGACTATCGAAGCGGGAAGTTTGATGTTTTAGTGATCGAGAAGACATCCTACAATTGGCTATTTGTGGTATGATGGAGGTGGCAGGAGGGCGCGCTGCTCGCAACAGCGTCTGTTTGAATATTTAGCAAGTGTAGTGTAGTGTGGTGTGGTGGGCGGAGACCTCGGCGTCGTAGCGGCGGCGCTGGAAGGCGGGCGGGCAGTCGTTGTAGTCGACGAGGCGCACGAGCAGCGTGCCGCGCGCGTCGCGGCGCGGCGAGCCCGCGTCGGCGGCGCGCAGCGGCACGCGGTGCTCGGCGCGCGCCTCGCGGTCCAGCGCCGCCAGCGTGCTCACCCAGCCCGAGAACGGGTCCACGGCGAACGGCGCGCCCTCCGCCGCCAGCGAGAACCGCACCTCGCCGTTCGACCCCGCGTCCGGGTCCTCCGCCATCACTGCAACACGCGACCTCACGTCAGCTGCCGTCGCGCGCGCCACCGCCCCCACCCACGACGCCGTGCTATACGTACGCTGCACCAGGCTGGTGTGCGGCGGCGTGTTCTCCGCCACGTGCACCACGTACGGCTGCGAGTGGAACGCGGGCGCGTGCTCGTTCACGTCCAGCACGTGCAGCCGCGTCTGCACCATGCTCGCCGGCGCCGGGCTGCCCGCGCCCTCCGCTATTATGCCTGCAACGCACGCATGTATCTATCTAAATTCATTTATTTTTTTTAAGTTCACTTCGAACACTAAAGAAAGAGACTTCGGTTAGGACGTCGACCGTTCTCGTAAACATGATAATATATAAACGAATAAATAAATTCATTTCAATGAATTATGAAATCAAGAAAAAATTCAAATTGGAATATTTCTCGAGTGAAAGCCTAAGTTACTTTATTCTGGGTATGTCGATTCTGATATTTCTTAATGAAAAGTCGAACCATGACAAATATCAAAATTACTGTTTGTTTTTTGATGCAAACTCAGGTTCGTGGCCATTGATTGGCATTTATAAATACTTATACTCATTTACAATAATGTATGAACTTTAAAGTGGGCGACGAATTCTTTAACGAATTTATCTAAATAGTTAAAATATTATTATTAAAAACAAAGTTTTACTTTTGCTTGTAATGGATAAACCCAAGGAATATTTTATCGACTGTAAAATAAATTCTTTCACATATGTACATATATAAACTACATACTTATTATTAACATGGGCTGTATTTTTTAAAAGATAATAAAAGAATTACTTATTACCTTTGTATCCGTGGGAGGCTGGGATGGATTGTTAATTTAAAATATGATGGAAAAACTAGTTATACTTGCAGTTGTCTTTGTTAGGACGGTAGCAGCGGATTGTAATTAAAAATTAATGTTATCTCTGTGAATGTTGAGTACAACTGTAATTCGATTGCAAGTTTATAATGCTATTGTTGTATTCTATTGGTAAAAGTTTTGTAATCTGTTGCGATGCAATATGAGTAATTAATTTGAAAAATTATGTGTTTATAAAAGGGGAGCGCATATATATGTGATAACGCTGCAGGGAAGGCCAGCGTTGCTGGGAGGTGTTTAACACTCTTTTTTTTTCGTACTGCGCGTAGAATACATGTTGTATTGTAAATACGTAGTATGCACGCTTTTTTTTATATGTATTTACATAATTTTGTATGGTCAGATTTATAACTGTTTACAGATTGATGGTATTTCCGAGGAGAGAAAAAATCAATGTGATAAATTTTAAATTAGCGATCCATTCCACTTTTCCACGGAAACAAGAGCGTACCTAATATTTTTTTAATGACAACGTAGATTTCTGTATGTGTAGGAACGTTTAGAGTAGAGTAAAGCGCGAGCAGCGGTACCTATGACGTGTTCGTGAGCGGTCTCGCGGTCGAGCTGGCCGGCGAGCACGAGGCGGCCGGCCGCGTCGATGGAGAACAGGTCGCGCGGCCACAGCCCCGGCGCGAGGCGGTAGCCCGCGACGTGGTCGCCGTCGGCGGCGGGCGCGTGCAGGTCGGCCAGCAGCGTGCCGGGCGGCGCGTCCTCGGGCAGGAAGACGTCGGGCGGCGGCGCGCGCAGCCGCGGCGCGCGCTCGCCGGCGCCGAGCACGAACACCGACACCGGCGCCTCGGCCGCCAGCCCGCCGCCGTCGCGCGCGCGCACCCACGCCTGCACCGCGCGCGACGCTGCGCACGCCACCGCACGCTCACTCACACGCCCACACGCTCACACGCCTACCCACTCCCGGCTGACCTACTCTTGTTTCAAAAACAGGCCAGTCCACTCTCCGTTTCTAGCCCGTTTGTCCTAGTTCAAATCCTTTCAGTCACGCAGAAACGTTTAAAAATTTATACTGCACCCGTGTCAGGACCTTACTACGATATACCTCCCAAATTTGAAAGTGGAGATGTGTCATTTAAATAAAAAAAAAATCACGTGATATCTGTGCTGTCGATCGGGAATTAGATATAGTTGATCAACGTAATTTACAGTTACGTAAACAACTCGATTTGTTGTCGTCGAGTACTGGGCGAGAAATTTCAAATATTGCTTGTTTGATAAAAATCCCGACGAATACTGTCGACCGTACAGATCTCCCAAGAAAAGTAATATTAAATATTCATAACAAATCGTCTAGACATTACGACACGTTTCACATTCATGTCGTTTCTACAAGTTATTAACAAAACACGTCTCTGTAGCGAGCATGTAATACTTATATAAATTCCTAGTGCTACCACGTGTATTTTAACCATGATATAATTTTCTTTTTTTATTATTTTATATATGTACGGGCATTCGCCTCTGCTGTTGCCCATCTCACGCGTTTGTTATATATATTTTAACTATGCGCGGAGAGACATATTATTGGTTACCCGTTTTCCATTATAATTTATATCTACTGGTACTGTTGGAACAGTAGTAGATTTTCTAAATAAAGAGATATAAATCGAGTTCCGTGTGAGCGGTTCAAGCGTAAAAAAATATCAACAATAAAAACGAATGTTGTTCACGGCTGTGACAGATTCGGAGACTCACCGAAGGCGGAGGCGTCGCGCTTGAACGAGAGCGCGCCGGTGTGCGGGTCGACGGCGAAGAGGCCGGCGGCGTCGGAGTGCAGGTCGCCCTCGTACACCGAGTAGACGAGGCGCGCGTGGTCGCCGGCGTCCGCGTCGTGCGCCGTCAGCGTGAGGAACGGCGCGCCGGGCGGCCGGTCGTGCGGCACGGCGGCGCGGTACTCGCGGTGCGGGAACACGGGCGCGTTGTCGTTCACGTCGACCACGCGCACGCGCACCGTGGTGTGGCGCAGCAGGCCGCCGCCGTCGCTGGCCGTCACCGGCACCTGCCACTCGGCGCGCCGCTCGCGGTCCAGCGCCACGCGCGCCGTCAGCGCGCCGCTCGTCGCGTCCACCGCGAACGTCTCGCGCAGCCGCGCCGACGGGATCGAGTACGTCACCGCGCCGTACTCGCCGCCGTCCTCGTCGTACGCCTTCACCTGCCGGACCGATCGCACGGTTACATCGCCGCGCGCCCCCGAACATCAACGCCCGGCGAGCTCGCGCCGCCACACCGCCGACCTACCGTGGTCAGAAGAAGCGGCGGCGGCTGGTTCTCGAGCGCTCGCGCCTCGTGCACGAGGTGGGGGAACCGGGGCGGCGAGCGGTTGGCCGGGGCGAGGGTGAGCTTGACCCGCGCGAACGCGGCGTGGGCGCCGTCCGACACGGACACGTTGAGCGAGCGCGGCGCGGCGCCGGCGGCGGCCCAGGCGCGCGTGTTGGCGAGCGACAGCACGCCGGTGCGCGGGTGCACGGCGAGCGCGGGCGGCGCGGCGCCGCCGCCGGCCAGCGCGTAGCGCAGCCGCGGCGCGTCGCGCGCGTCCGGGTCCCACGCCGCCACGCGCGCCAGCGCCGTGCCGCGCGCCGCCTCCGCCGACACCAGCACCGACACCACGCCGCGCTCCATACGCGGCGGGCTGTCGTTCACGTCCTCCACTGTCGCGGGAAGTATTTGTTTATTGAACATCGATGCGGCTAGATGGTGTAAACGTACCGAGGTATCTAGGTCGAACGTAGTCGGCATACGAACCCGTGATGAAGAGGTGCGCCGTGGTGAGCAGCGCCGGGCGGCCGCCGTCGGTCGCGGTGACCAGAAGGTGGTACTCGGAGCGCGTCTCGCTGTCGAGCGGCGCGGCGACGCGCACGTCACCCGTCTTCGGGTCTACGACGAACGACGCGTCGACGTCTCCTGCGCCGGTGCCGCTCAGCGAGTAAGTCACTTCGCCGTTCGCTTCTGAATCGAAAATCGAGAGGTGAGTCTCGTTCGGGTCGTTGGAGGCGATCCGCGGGCTCGGGCGGCACGGCTGCGGATACCTGTGTCGTTGTCGGTAGCGGTGACGGCGGCGACGAGGTCGCCGACGGCGGCGGCCTCCGAGACGGCGGCCCGGTACACGTCCTGCTGGAACTCGGGCGCGCAGTCGTTGACGTCGAGCACGCGCAGCGTGACGGCGGCGTCGGCGTACGCGCCGGTGACGCCGTCGGTGGCGCGCACCGTCAGCGCGTGCTCGCGCGCCGTCTCGTAGTCCAGGGGCGAACGAGCTATGAGTACGCCTGCGGCAGACGGGAGTTATCGCGGTTTGTGTTTCAGTCCGACTTGGTAGATAATTACGTGATCGTGTCAAAAGCAGTGAAACGTCAAGCTAATTCAGGACGTTTTTATATTCGACGACGACGACGACGACGACGAAAATTGATTAGCACAGAGCTGATTATTCTTCTTCCGTTATATATGTTTCATAAATAAGTGTAAACCTCATACCATACCATGCAAAAGCGTGAATATACGAGAATAACTTTCAACTTTATCTATTATGTTTTTCGGTTTTGTTTTTAATACTCAAAATAAAAATGTATCTACTCGTATATAATGGTATAATAATTTGTGATGCTCATAAAATTATTGTTTTGTAGAGTATAATAATGTGGAGCCGAAAACAATATTAGTTTCATAACAGCGCCAACAGTGAAATTGAAACTGCTAGTCGTAGTGTTATCATCACCGATAATTTTACTTTGATTTGATAACAATCATATTTTTCCTTACATGAACATGCTAGGAAAATACATCTCACTAAAATTATTACGCTGCTGTTAATATTGAATTAATTTATATTAGTTAATTAGTCAAGCAGGCGAAAATTTGTTCTTATCATTGATTTCTGCACAACAAAGCTTTTATAATATGATTGTATGTATATACGATGATATATTTATATGCATGAACTTTGACAAGACATTTAGTAATAAAGCATAGTACTATGCTTTATTACTAAATGTCTTGTTCCGCCGATATTAATGTGAAAGCAGATAGATGATTACAAATGCAGAACTTTACGTCTCAAAAATTCATGGTGATATTAATAGTACTTCATTAGCATTACTAATCAAGCGCATTTAGTGAATGATTTATCAATGATCGTGGCCACAACACTAGAGGACGCGAGAGCGAGGCGGCGAGTGAGAGGGCGGCGCACCCATGCGGTCGCGCGTGGACGACGAACTAGAATACCTCATTGTCATATACTCACATGGACTATTGCCTCTTTCGGGTGCTGCGGGACAAAACCAACGTGTTTAGTGGCGCTCTACGTTAAACGTATGTATACAATATTAATATCACTAGCGCGACGTATTTTAGTAACTCTACTACTGCACATTCACAACGCGGCGGCGGTGGCGCCTCGTCCCGACCCGACCGGCGAGTTAGGATGCAACAGAGAAAGAAATCTCGATACGCCGAGAAAGGTGTCGGGGTCGAAAACGACGCGCCCGCGCCTCCCGCTCTCGACCCGCGTTATCACCCCATCGCTGCATGCAAAACGCCCGCATCGTTCCCCCGGATGAGACTCACCGGCTTCGAAGTGAATTTCGAAGAGCGAGGCGGCCGCGTCGTCGTCCACGAGCGTGTAGATGAGCTGGCGGCCGAGCGGCGACAGCGCGCGCAGCGGCGGCGCCAGCGGCGCGCCCGGCGCGGCGTCCTCGCGCGCGCTCAGCTCGAAGTGCGCGCGCTGCCAGGCCGGCGCCGCGCCGCCGCCCCACACGCGCACCGCCACGCGCGCCTCCGCGCCGCACGCCGGCACGCCTGCGCACACGCACCGGTCAGCTCTCCGTCCCAGCGAGCCTCACCTGCCCGCCGCGCTCGCCCGCCGCGCAGGCGCCCTTACCTCCGTCGAACGCGGCGATCACGAGCGTGTACAGCTGGTTGTGCGCGTCCACCGTCTGCTTCAGCGAGATCTGCCCGCTGCGGCGGTCCACTCGGAACAGCTCTCCGTGCCCGCGCTTCATCTCGTATCGGACCTGTCCACCGGATCGGAGTCGAGTCAAATTTTTTTGGTCACGTAAACTATAGGACTCCTTAACGAAATACTAAATATAGAAGAGTTAGAGACGAGACTCACTTCTCCGTTGTCGTTCGCATCGGCGTCGATGGCGTGGACTCGCAGCACGTGCGTGCCGGGCTCGGCGCCGGCCAGCACGGCCGCCACGTAGGGCCGCTCGACGAACACGGGGCAGTTGTCGTTGACGTCCGTGACGGCCACGTGCAGCCGCGCGCGCGCCACCCGCGCCGCGCCGTCGCCGCCGCGCGCCTCCACCACCAGGTCGTACGAGTCGCGCTGCTCGCGGTCCAGCGCCAGCCCCGTGCTGCGGACCGCGCCGGAGGTCGCGCCCACCTGCGATGCGACCGCATACTCCACTTCACGAAACGTTACGTCGACAGTTCCAAACTCGAGCTTTCACTCACGACAATCTTTAATCTTTCCACCGATCTATGAAATAAGAAATCGGGCCGTTCGGAATTCGTATCGATCTCGTCGTCGGTGTAAACTCACCTCGAAACCGTCGACCGGATTGAGTATGCTGAACTCGACGTGCTCGTTGAGGGCCGTGCCGAGCACGTTGAGCACCGCGATGGTGGTCGGCTTGGTCGAGTTCTCGACCACGGAGCCATAGTAGTCGGACTTCTGGAAGGCGAGGCCGGCGCCGTCGAGGTCGCGCACGCGCACGTCGACGCGCGCCGTGGCCGAGTACTGGCCGTCGGACGCGCGCACGCGCAGGCGCAGGCGGCCCGCCAGCGCCGCCAGCGCCGCCAGCGCGGCCGGCCGCGCCACGCGCAGCGCGCCGTCCGCCGCCAGCGCCAGCGCGCCCGCCTCGTCGCCCTCCATGATGTCGAACTTGACGGCGCCGCCCGGCGGCAGGTCGGGGTCGCTCGCGGCCAGCCGGGCCACCACCACCCCGCTCGACGTCGGCAGGAGCACGGTCGCCTCGTACGTCGCCCGGTCGAAGGCGGGCGGGCAGTCGTTGACGTCTATCACCTCGACGATGACTCTCGCGACGCTGTCGGAGGGCAGCCTCGGCGTCCCCATGTCGATGACCTGCGAAATCGTCCCGCGTAAGTGTGGGGATCGGAAACCGGATCGGGGCTCGCGCGGGAGAAGTGTACCGACCCTGACGGTGAATTCGTGCCTGGGAGCTCGTTCGAAATCGAGAGGCGTAGCGATGTGTAACGCGCCCGTCGTCGGATCGACGCGGAAGTGGGCGGCGGCGGCCGGGTCCAAGATCTCGTAGGCGCGCTGCTGGTTGGCGGGCGAGTCGGCGTCGTCGGCCGCGAGCACGAGCGGCGCGCCGGGCTCGGCGTCGGCGGCGGCGTCCGTCACCAGCGCGCCCGCCGCCGCCGCCTCCGAGATGCGGCCTCGATACTCTTGGCGCTTCAGCGTAGGCGCATACTCGTTTCGGTCCAGCACGTGTACTGATACTTGGGCTCGAGCCGTTCCACCTCCCTGTGTATAAATCAATAGAGGAGACACTTGAAAATATATTAATTTGGTTTATTTAATTATATTCATCATAATATTATAATAACAAATTGTTCAAATTAAATAAATAAATAACATTGATTGTAAATCGGGTACTGACATATTCAATCAGAAATTTTCATCGCACTGAAGCATTTTACCTACATACACTGATAACCCAATAATCTATAAGCATAATTTGGTAGTATTAAAAATTAACGTTTGTTGTTTTATTTCTGAATGTTGAGTAGAAGTACGATTGGATTGCAAACTTATAATGTTATTGTTGTATTCTATTGGTAAAAGTTTTGTTTATAATTTGTTGAGATACCACGGAAATAAATAAATAAATATACAACCATAAATTTAGTTTCATTTTAGCTGTACTATGTGAAGATTTTATCAATTAATACGATTTAATAGTGTCTTTAACGTGGCCGAATAAATAATATCCAAATGGCACTGATTTTTACGTCTATAATTGTCACGGTTTAAACTAACGACAACTCCCGATCACTCACCATATTATAAGCGACAATGGTCAAATTGTAAAAATCCCTCGTCTCGTAGTCCAGGGGCGCGGCAGTAGTTAGTAGACCCGCGGCGGGATTGAGGCGAAACAGTCCTTCGCCACCCTCGAGCGAGTACCACAGAGTCGTGGCGCTGCGCGCCTCGATCGTAGTCAGCACGCTGCCCTCGGACTCGTTTTCGTACACCTCACAGACTACTTCGCTCGAAGTGAACCTGTGTGCAAAAACGGGCGGTAATTTCGGAGACCACTCCTCGAAGGAAATCGGTGAGCACGACGCGGCACGGAGCCCGACCTGGGAGGCGCGTCGTCCGGGTCGACGACGAGCACGTGCAGCGGCAGCGTGGAGGAGCGCGCGGCCGGCGGCGGGTTGGCGGCGCGCACGTGCAGCGTGTACTCGCGCGGGCCGGCCGGCGGCAGCGCGCGCCAGGCGCACGTCGCCCAGCGCCGCGTCCACGACGAAGGCGCCGTCCGCGTCGCCGCCCGCCAGCGAGTACACGAGGCGCGCCGCGTCGCCCGCGTCGCGGTCGGCGGCGCGCAGCGCGGCCACGAGCGCGCCGGCCGGCGCCGCGCGCGGCAGCCGCGCCTCGGCCAGGCGGCGGCCCCACGCCGGCGCGTGCTCGTCGTCGTCGTGCACGCGCACGGTGACGCGCGCGAAGGCCCGCGCCGCGCGCGGCGCCTGGTCGCGCACCCACACGGTCAGCTCGTGCACGGCCGCGCTCTCCCGGTCGAGCGCGTGCGCGAGCTCGAGCACGCCGCTGAGCTCGTGCAGGCGGAACAGCCGCGCGGACGCGGGCGCGCGCGCCGCGTGCAGCCCGTACAGCAGGCGGCCGGCGCCCGCCGCCTGCAGCGTCGCCAGCGCCTCGCCCGCCGCCCGCGCCTCCGACGTCTCCACGACGTACTCGTCGCGCGAGAACGACACGCCGCCCTCGTTTGCGTCGTTGATCACGGTTATGTTCACCTGCAGAACGACCGTTCGCTGCAGTATTCGAATCCCGACACGAGTCGTGCCGTCGACATGATTTACGTATATGTGTAGGCGCATGTTCTCTTGAAAAGTACGTTGCAAAAATTATTGTGCATTTCATAGATCGACCATGTCTGACACACTGGATTGTGTTCGATTTGAAGATGTTCCTTATGTGATATCATAGTGAACTAACCGGCACGTAGACAGTATGCAATCCGTCAGTGATGGAAATATTGAGTACATAGTGCGGCCGTCGCTCCCAAAGCAGACGACGCGCTAGAATCAGACTGCCGTCCTCGCGTCCTACGTAGAATTCGTGCTCGTCATCGCCATCTAAAAAGTTCACGTTTAACTGTGTATAATTTATTATGACAATTTCCTTATTTATTTGTTTGTAGTAGGAAAATCAGTCATAAAAGTAAGGATAAGAGAACAACAATGATTAAAATAATTAACAAGTGGCTCCTAGATGTTCAGTCTAAAACGTCTTCTAATTTTCCTGATACACTAGGATATTCATTTTTGCTCACTCGAGTGAGGCCAAAACACATACATGACCGCTCCCTCAGTAAGTTATATTACTTTAGCTCTCACCGATGATGTCGTAGTAGAGGCGGTCGCCGTCCGGATCGGTAGCTTGCAGGACGGTGAGCAGGAAGCCCGGCGCGTCCAGCTCGGCCACCTGCAGCGGCGGCACGGCGGCGGCGGCGGGAGGCGCGCCGCCGGTCGGCGCCTCCACGGCGCGGACGGTGGCGCGCGCCTTCTGGCAGCGCGGCCGCGGGCCGCCGTCGCACGCGCGCACCTGCACAGGCGGCGGGTGAGCAGCGGGCGCGGGTGTCGGGCGCGGGGGCCGGGCGGGGCGGGGCGGGGCGTCACTCACCGCCAGCTCGTAGAGGTCGCCGGGCGCGAGGCGCAGGCGCGGCGCGGCCAGCAGGCGGCCCGAGGCGGCGTGCAGGCGCAGCAGGCCGCGCGCCGGGCCGCGCGCGCGCGCACTGTAGCGCACCGTGCCGTTGGCGCCCGCGTCCGCGTCCAGCGCCACCACCTGCGTGCGACCGATACTATTCAGTGCGCCCGCGATCACCCGCTTCGACGTAGTCGTAGCGCGAGAGAAGCGGTCAGAGAGCAAGTTGCCTTCTGGCGTGTTTTATTTATATTTATCGCGACGTCCCATTTTTTCTTTTTCCTCGTTGCCGTTGGAGCGAGAGGAACGGAGAGGGTTCCGGGTGGTGCTTTTGTTTAATCGTATAGAATGCTACTAACCGTCGCTATGTAGGTACCGCCTGGATCGGAATCGTCGAGGACGTCCCACGCGATCCGCGCGCCGTCGTCCTCGCCGTCGCCGTCGGCGTCGCCCTCGGCCTCCCACTCGGTGCTGGAGTCGTCGCGGGCCGCGGCGTCGCCCTGCACGCACACGCGGCTACACTACCACTCCACACGCACACGATAAAATTCAACGGAAGCGCAGCGTCGCAGTCGTTCGACGCTTTGTGGGCCACTCGGTCGAGTTCACCGAGCCCTGGCTCGTTTGTTAAAAGCGAAATCACTCCCGGTCCTGTCGCGACCGAGCAAGTAATTAACTGTAATATCAGTCGCGTTAGGTGCATGCTCGATACTCGCGACGTCATCGCGGATTACAAACCTGCGGTAGGGAGTCGACTCGGGGCGGCACTGCGGGCGCGGTTGCGGGCGGTACCGGCACGCGGATATCGTAGGAGCGCTGCGTGAACACCGGCTCGTGGTCGTTGATGTCCAGCAGCTGTACGACGACGCGCGCCGTCGTCGCCAGCTCACCGTCCGAGCACTGCACCTCGAGGGCGTGCGACGCGGCCGCCTCCCGGTCCAAGCTGCGCCCGGTCGTTACTATTTCACCTAAAGATATCGGGAAAGATGCTCAATATTTCGATCTTTACTCAGTTACGAATTAACAGACGCGAGTGAACACATAGTTTTCAACTGACGATTTCATGTCCCAATGGGCAATTGAATGGGTAAGAAGTTAACAAGTGCAAATTACACGACATCGTTTCTCGTAGCGATTGACCGGGGAGGAATACGTCCAACAGAGGACAATTGAAGGCCGAATTAATGATAGTTTTACGACTACATGGACGTAAGTAACGGGATCAAAAATTTGACTTTCCCACGGGAATACTACGAATCAGCGAACTCCACCGCTGTCGCAATTACATGGACGCGAGTATAGTCGGCGGAGTGACGGGCGTGGTTACCGGTGCGCTCGTCGATGGAGAAGAGGCCGTCCGGGTTGCCGGCGACGATGGTGTAGGCGAGCGCGGCGGGGCGCGGCGCGGCGTCGCCGTCGACGGCGGCCACGCGCGCCACGCGCGTGCCGGCCGCGCAGTGCTCGGCCACGGCCGCCGCGTACGACGCGCGCTCCGGCCACGGCGCCATGTCGTTCACATCCTCCACCTCGATGTACACCTGCCACCCGACCACATCACCACACTTAGCTGCTATATTAAAGTCGAGTTTATTTCGTATTCGGATCGTATCTCAGAGATTAATAAGTGAAGTGCCGTAGGCGTGATCACCTGTACGCAGGAGTGACGTGGAACTAGCCCGTGATCCTGCGCGCACACCGTCAACCAGTAGTGGGGAACTGTCTCTCGGTCTAGGGGTGTCAGCGTTCGAATTATGCCTACAAAATAAATTAATATTAGAGTTACATCAGTGTGGGCTAATGACCCCCAAACAAGTTTCTGGACCATTTAAAATAATTTTATATCTTTGGCATTATTAAAAGCATTGTAACGATGTGGCCGGTGACATGATCAGCCCTGACTCCCGAGGGTACGCACTTGTTTAATGTTTTACGTATTTTTTGACTATTAAAGACAGAGAGCATTGAAATTTTAATGCGACATAGCTTTCAGTGCTGAGCGGACAGTGGCCTTTCAGGATGCTGGACATGCATGAGCTTCCCGTTTTTTTAAGGTTCTTATCTTGTATTAAAAGGCTTCTAGGATCGTCGATCCGCGTCATAATCAGTTGCGGAAATACAACGACTCGGTGAGTCGTTATGCCGTGCAAAAGTCCGTCGTATTGTCAGCGCCATTCGGAAAACTGTCTAGTTGCTGAGGGTCGTGCCTGCGTCGTCGATGGAGAAGTGCGCCAGGCCGGAGCCGCCGACGAGGTAGTAGGCGAGGCGGCTGTCGCGGCCGGGCGGGTCGGCGTCGGTGGCGGCGGCGGCGAGCGCCACGGCGCCGGGCAGCGCGTCCTCGCGCACGGCGCCGGCGAGCGCGGCGTGGTCTGCGAAGGCGGGCGCGTGCGCGTTCTCGTCCACGTCCACCAGCTCCACGATGAGCGCCGCCTCCGCCCACAGCGCCGGCCGCCCGCCGTCCGTCGCGCGTACCGTCACTCCGTACACCTGCGCACACACACTACTATACAACTGCATTGTTAAAATATCAAAACAAAAACATACTAATGTTTATCTTTACTTGAAACGTTTTCACGGAGATTAGTCAATTTCTGTTGTAAAATATTGTAACCATTCTTACGTCCACACATACATGTATTGAGAGGCAATTGTAAGAAGATTTGAATCTTTAAAAAGGTCACGAATAGACTCTTTTTGTAGTATAAGTATGGTTTAAATATATTGCTTGATTTTTTAACTGCACAAGTAGTAAGCAAAGCTTATTAGTTAATTTTGATTTATAGGGTACTCACTGTAATTTAGTATCCATGGTGATACCAAAAAATACGGTATCGTTAACAAAATATTACAGCTGATCGTTCAGTCTAGTAAAAATTAAAAATAAGTTAAAAAAAAATAAGTTACCTGGCGTTCTTCGAAGTCCAGTTGTTTGGCAGTACGCAAAGTGCCGGATGTGGCATCAACAGTGAACACTACTTCATCAGTATCCGGTAGTGAGTAGGTCACGACGCCGCCTGCGCCGAGATCCGGATCGAAAGCCTCGAGTACTGCTACCAAAGTGCCCACCGGCACATCCTCACGCACTCGGGCTCCGTACGCGCTCAGGCCGAAGCGTGGTGCATTGTCATTGACATCGTCTACGGTCACCCGTACCAGTGCTTCAGCGAAGAGTCCGCCCCCGTCTGTAGCGCGAATAGTAAGCTCATAGAGTGCGCGACGCTCTCGGTCTAATGGTGCGCACACAGCCAACACTCCTGTGTCTTGTTCCACACAAAATTCATTCTCTCCTTCACCGGTACCACTTAAACTATATCTAATGTGAGCAAACTCTCCTGTATCTCGATCTGTTGCGTTTGCGCGGAATATTGAAGTACCATTAAGAGCATTTTCAGTTACTCGAAAACTGGCAAGAGTTTTTTCGAAGCGCGGTCGGTTGTCATTAACATCTAAAACGGTGATGGGTAAAAGTCGTGATGCCGACCGTTGTGGAGTACCTAAATCGTATACGGTTACATTCAAATAGTATTCACTTTCACGTTCACGATCTAGGTAACCGATCACTTGAAGATCGCCAGTATCTGGATCGATACGAAATGCAGAGTCAGAATCGCCGCCGGATATGCCGTATGTCAATAATCCATTGTAACCTAAATCCCGATCACGGGCTCGTAATTTCACAAGAGAAGTACCAAGACTTACTGATTCATTTACTTTTACTTCGACTGGGAAATCGACAAATTCTGGTGCGTGTAAGTTTTCTCCATACCTCGATGGTGCCAGTGGAAATTCATCAGCAAAATCAATGGGTGCATTGCTGCGTTCTGCAGCTGCAAGCAGTTCAGTCAAGCTTCTAGCTACACCAGTATCTCGACATTCCAAAGGTGTGGCTTCTCCACCACTTCCTCCAACTAAATGTAATGTTAAAGACATTGAATCAGAAAAGTGTGTACCATCGGTCGCTGATACATTTAGGACTCTTGTTTCAGCACGCACATCACCTAAGTCACACGATAAGCTCACTACTCCTGTGGTAGAATCCAAGGCGAAACAATTATCTTCATTACCACTATCAACACGATATGATACAACATCGCCAGCGTCAAAGTCGATAGCAGACAGTGTGACAATTTCAAATCCAATCGATGTACGCCGTGATAGGTAACCAACACAATCAACGCGTTCAAATTGAGGTCGATTATCATTAACATCCTTGAGCTGTACAATTAGGCGCATTTCAGCTTGACGACGGTAGGGAAGTCCCCAGTCACTGGCACGAATACGAAGAGTATATTCTCGACGCATGTTTTCATAATCTAGTAATCGTGTCGTACGTACTGCACCTGAAAAATGATCCACTTCAAAGGGTACTAATTGCAAATTTGCAATACTATAAGATATGTAGGCATTTTCACCGGAATCTGCATCTTTTGCTACAACACGTGCCACTACCGTACCACTAGCGCCGTTTTCTGAAATAGTTACTTTAATTTCTTCTTGTTCGAAAATAGGATCATTATCGTTTGAATCCAAAACAGTAATTTTCACTTTAGCCGATGATTGTTTACGTGTACCGGCATTACCCTGATCGATAGCAGATACGGTGAGGGTGTAAAGAGCCTTCTCCTCAGCATCAAGCGGGACAGCCGTATAAAGTACACCAGTGTCAGGATTAACAACGAACTCGCCGCCTTCGTTTCCACCCACTATTTCTATATAGACTCGAGCATTATTACCTTCATCACGGTCACTAACCTTAAGTCTTATTACTGGAGTATTTGGTGGTACAGTTTCAGGAATACTGGCTTCATATACTTCTCGACTAAAAACAGGCGCATTATCATTGGCATCAGTTAGCAATACAGGCAATGTAAGATATGATGAACGCGAAGGGTGTCCGGCATCTGTGGCACGAAGAGTTAAATTGTAACCACGCGGTGCACTTTCACGATCGAGCAGTGCATGAACGACAACATCAAATTCACCAGGTTGTAGAGAAGGCCGCACTCTAAAATGTCCATCAGGATCACCGTCAACTATTTCGAGACTAGCTATACGACCATGCTCTCCCGAATCACGATCACTAACTTCTACGATGGCATAGATCTCGGCAGTAGAATTTTCAACAAGTTCAGGTAAGCGACGAACATGTAGTTCTGGAGCATGTAAATTGACTTCAGCGACTCGTACTACAAGCGAGGCGCGAGCGGCGGGAGCGTCTTCGCCCCGTGTGAGCAATGACGCACGGTCACGAGCTAATACGGTTAATTCGTGACGTTTACTTTCGGCAGCTGATAGAGAGCGCGTAATAGTCACTATACCACTAGTCGGGTGAACTGAAAATCTGTCAGTAGGATCGGCTAAACTGTAGTAAATTTCTCCATTAAGACCGAGATCCGCATCTTCTGCAGTGACACGGGCTATACTGGAATGTACGGGTGTGTCTTCTGGTACTAAAGTGTCGTACTCCGTCGGATAAAAAAGTGGACTTAGATCATTCTCATCAGCTATAGATACATCTACGATAGTATCGGCTTCGAGTTGGCGATTCGAGGGCAAAGTGACTGTCGCGTGTACTTCGAGGCGATACAAATCACGGCGCTCGCGGTTGAGGACGTCAGCGTGACCGGCACGCGTACGTATAGAAAGAAAGCAAAAGTCGCCAACGATGCGTTCTTCTGCTTTAAAAAATTTATCTTTGTCGCCGTGCCGTATCCTGAAGCGACAGCGCGCACCGGCGGCGGGCAGGTGCACGCCGAGCGGCTCGTCGGCGGGCGGTTGCTGCGCGTACGTGCGCGGCGGACTGTTCTCTGGAATGCTCAGGTTGTACAGCGGCGCCTGGAAGTGCAGGCGGGCGGCGGCGGCGGCGGCGGCGGGCGGGCCGGGCCCCGCGCGGGCGCACCACGCCACCGCCGCCAGCACGAGCCACGCCTTTGCGCCCAGCATCTTCCACTAAGTATTATTATTCTGCAATAAAATAAAAATAATAAATTTATATTGTAATTACTTATACTGGCCTTACGTACGTATTAGCATGATTTATTATTTTGGGGTCATTTGACCAGCTTCGGACTCTACGAAAGCTTTATAAAATGTATTATTATTGAATAATTATCGTAAATTTTGCTTAACTAGTTTTATCAAAACACCAAACGTCAGGAAAGTAACGTAAGTATTATATTGTTCTAACAGTACGAGTATGAGTACAGTACATACAGGACGCACTCGGACACTACCTTGCGTATGACTCAATAAAGATAAATCGATTACATAAATATAATAAAGCCTGTACATAGAAAACTAACCAAGCCAAATTTTGAGCTTGAATTACATCCCAAGTGAAATAAACGCATTGTGTAAACTATTGTCTATTAAAATTTAAGAATTTATAATACCAATTAAGTAGTAAACATTGTAATAGTACCATGAAATAAAAAATATGATATAAATTTATTTTATAATGGTGCATGTTCTTGTGGAAACGACGCATACTCGTAATATTGGACTTGGCTCTCATTTCATATTTATGTTTTTGATAAGATATCATTACGTTTTGTATAGAAATTATTAGCATTTATCACTAATACATTGTGGTTTGTAAAATTACCTCTATCATAAACGTTTACACTGTTTACTTTTCGTGTTATTTTCCTTTTTTTTTTAACATTTTAGCCACATCTTCGTTACTCCTCCCACGTTCTGTGATAACATCGCCTAATCTCAACAGTCTTAACTATATGATAGGATATAAGAAACAATGTTTTATGTTTATATACTACTTGCCTCATATAATTACCCTCATAGTAAATTTCGTTTTTTTTGTTGATACTTGTTACGAGTATTAATAATTTTCAATTCCAGATATTTTCCATTATATATCATAAAATAAAGCCAGTATTTACTGGGTACCTCTTCATTTGAAGAAGGCGACATAAAATTGTTAGTTGCATGTAAAATTAAAAATAACAATATATTATGTAAAATATACTTACAGACAGTACAGAGTACAGACATTTTGAAAGTAAAAAATTCAAGGACGGCAAGAAGTTTTGCGGTTCCTATATTCATTTAACAGACGGACACGGAAGGCATAAATTAAGAAATAAATAAGGCTCAAATAGTTGTCAGAACAAAAGCAGGCTCACGATTTCAATTTCTTCCCGTATATTAGAATTTGTTTATTACTAACAGCTTTCAAATTATAATATCGTTACAGTTGATATTTGTTGCTAATTAAGGCTTACACAATATGTTTGGTATAAAAACTTATTGGGCAAATTTCATCTAGCAGACAACTGCTTAGTGAAAGAAAAAAGAGGCTAAAATAATGAAGTTTAATAAATATTGCGCAAAATTTGCAATAATTATGCTGATTATTACCATATACAGATAGATGACCAGACGGGAACTAGACTCGATGTCATTGTCATGGACAGTCATTGTTTAGTTTTGATTTCGGAATTATAAAAACTACTGATATTAACACCAAAATGCGGTCCCATTGCTAGCAGTATACCCTATCAGGTTGACATCAACCATGTCCCTCTTGGGAACCATCGTGCTGAATTCCAGGTGTATTCATTGCGATGGGCTCACTGACCTGTTTTCATCTTCACCTATCATCCCTCACTGGTGCCCCGCCAACGTATACCGTTAGCGCAGGCGGGGTTACCATTACATTATCATCCATGAAAAAAAAAACACCAAGATGCGAACCTCATAGAGCAGCGTCGGCCGTCGGCCACGGCGTGGTGGCGCGCTGCCGGCCGCGGTGGAGGCGCCGAGGCGGCGGCCACACCACCTGTCAGCTGCCTCTCATACCTGCCACACAAACACATTAACTGTAGTACATCATTATTTATTAATATAAATACATTTGGTAGTAGTCTGGCAAGTACGAGGCAAACATAGAGGGATATTTTGTCTAGTTTGTACAGATTCCAGTGCATCATACGGCATTATGATCTATTTGTATATCAAATTTAATTCAAATAGGCTCAGCGAAAGAAAATAAAATAAAAATATATCTAAGCTAATGGCGGGCTTGGCGCGCCAGTGGAGGATGAAGTTAGGTCGGTTCGAATAGTTTGTTTTTTCATGGATGATAATGGAATGGTAACCCCGCCTGCGCTATCGATATACACTGGCGGGGTACCAGTGAGGGATGATAAGTGAGAATGAAAAGGCAGGTCGGTTAGCCCATCGTGACGAATTCAACGATAAATTAATCACGATGGTTTCCCGGAGGAACCGCGTGGAGATCGACCTTATGGGGTATACTCCCTTTTACTAACAATCCCTCCCCCCGGTTCGAATAGTTTGACATAATCCTCTTTATAGCTCGTTTGAGTAATTTAAGCCTTTGTTGTAATTTTGAGATGCCAACAAAAGGTATGACAGCGCGCTTGAATTACGTAAGAGCAAACTTGTATAATCAGGGATCGTGGTCAGCGTCACTTTAAACTAATCAAATATGAGGGAGGACATGAGGCGCGCCGGAGCCCTTTCTATTTCCATGCTCTATTACATTAAGAGCCCGCTAACTTTATGTATGTACGTGTACAAAGAATCTAATCTAACTTCAGTCGTCGTAGCTATGATTAATATAGTAAATGCGCACGGAGAGCAACCTACTAAAGTGCATTAGTAAGAAGCAGGTTTACAGGCAATCTGCAACTTATTACCTTAGTATTAAGTACGTTTCAGGTAAGTATCGTAACGCTGTCCACTGCTGAACATAAACCTCCTCCTTGGTGGTGTAGCTAGTAGTTGTCACGCTTGACAGGCAGGCTGGCTAACGCAGTTAGGCTTTAGAGATGTTTTAAGAGAGATGCCGCTGCCCGCCTCTAACCTTCCCTTAGTCGCCTTTTACGACACCCAAGGGGAAATTCCTATTCTATGCCGGGATCATAAGGACACGGACACCACCGGAGTACCGTAACGTACAATTACAAAATAAATTAACTGTGACACTACTTATGTTGTTGTTGTTTTAAAATTCGTCCAATATTGGACAGGCAAAGAGCATGGCCCATACAGCCTAGTCATAAGTTACAATTAGTTCTATATAAATGAGGAGAAAATATTTTTTCAGATCCATACAAGTGATACCAGCTGCTGAGTGATCGGCGTTGAAGGCTCTATTGGACAGAAAAGTCATATATTCCATTTGACACCTGAAGTGACAATATGGAAGACATTTCAGTTCATTTAAGAGTTCTAAGTCGGTATTTATAATAAATCTAGTTTTAGAACCTTACATCTTTTTGAATATTAAATAAAAACGCTATGCAGTCAACATGATGCGTAATATATCTACCTATTAAGAAATAAGATATTTTTTGTAAAAATGTTTACTGTAGCGATTGATTGTTTTTACGATATGTAGTAAAATGGAAGATACGTACCAATACGAAACCCAATGAAAGCATCTACTTTCGGAATTAAATAACTTTCCCCAAGTAAGGGATCTACTCGTACAATATACCTGAGACGTCATTCCCTATTATTAGATGTTGTATGCAATATTTTCCATGAATATTGACGTAGAAGACTATGTTTGTATAAAACAGAGTTTGCTACGTCAATAATAAATAAAGTCATAATTAAAGTGTTTGCTACTATTACTCGTTTATATATTAGTATTTTTATTTCCTAAAATTGTCTAATTTAGTAAGAATTGTTCATTTTTCTATTTAATTTCATGTATGTGTAGAACAAATGTTAAATATTGATTTTAAGTATACTGCAGGATGTAATTTACATGGATTATTTTATGCGCGCTCGTCATAAACGTTTCTATTGCGTCCTTTTTAAATTTTAAAATATATAACATAATAAATATTGTTTAATGTGTAATACACGTACATTAAGTACTAATAAATATATAAAACTATGTTATCAAATTCTTAGATTAGATAAGTTCACCAAAATAAAAATATGGACAATGTAGGATTTAAGTTAAATATAACAATTGTTAACAGATTTAGTCAAGGCGAAGAGTAAACGTCACAGGATACTCTAGTTATGTGAATGCAACCCACACACGAATCATATATCCTCTGAAATTATAAACTCTGTCCCTCCACCGCGGGAAGATGAAGACATTGCCACTAAGAACATATAAAAACTCATGTGCTAGACAAGAGCTCAAACGATGGCCATTTTGCAAATCCAAAATACCCTGAAATATCTATTAACTTTGTGTATATACGTAATGATATTTTTTTTTTAAATTTAATCCTATATAAACGACATGTGAAATATGTTTGATGTACATTCCTAGGTATGACGAAAATGTACGCGCGCGTAATGCCCCTGGTATTGCAGGCGTTCATAGGCTTATCATTAGGTGGGCTGTGTACTTGTTCGGCAGTGGTACAAAAAAGAAAAAAATAAATTTGCATACTACTCTTTTCAGTGGTGAACAACTGACAGCGTTTGGTAACACTCATGGAGTGGAAAACATTGACTGTGTTTGAGAGCATTGTTATAAGTGACGCGGGGAGGGTACAGTGAGGGTAGCACGTTGCCGTGCAATCTTCAGCCGCTCCCTGTGCCAGCCGCTGGGTGCAGTGAGCGCAGTCAAAGGCTTATCTCGCAGACTCACGGTTATCTACGAGTATAGAGGGCGGCTCGGCGCGTCTCGCGTCGCGCCGCGCGCTCTACCCCGTGTCTCGTAAACATGCTCTAAATGATTCTATAATTACGCTATCTGTTCTATTTTATCCTTCATTGTATTGCATTTGTACATTTAACAGTTAAGTTTGGGTAGAGTAGTTTTTTTTTTAATAGATGATAATGTAATGGTAACTCCGCCTGCGCCAATGGTATGCTGGCGGGGCACCAGTGAGGGATGATAGGCAGATCAGTTAGCCCATCGTAATGAATACACAGGATTTCAGCACGATGGTTTCCACGTGGAGGTCGACCTGAGGGTATATTGCTAGCAATGGGACTGCTGATCCGTTTTATTAACAGTTCCTTCCCTCCCGGGTAGAATAGTTCAGCAGAGGCCAGTACAATAGGAATCATTTTTATAGTAGATTTATCTAAATTTTACAATAAATACAATGATTGCAATGTAAGAAACTAATATAATATTATTTATTACATAATTTTATGTAAATCTAAAGATTTACATAGAGTAAAAAAAACCTTTTATTTGAAAATAGCTATCGTATTGGATTGTTTAAATATTTATCAATGTAGGATAACGTAATATCTTCATCAATGCTGTCCTGCAAAAAATCAACTGCAGTCGTGTGCACACTGACAAACTACGAGATGTGACGTAGATATTCTTATCGTTTCATGTCAACGACTTGTTTCTTAGATACCACATTCTAAATGTTGCCTGTTTACATATAGATTTTGTTTCGCAATGAGTAGTTTTTAGCTCTATAAAGAAGAAAATAAACGTCACAAATCTAGAATGGAAATAGATGAAAATTAATTCAGGATTGACTAAATAATCGTGTAACATAGTCACAATACAGGCGAATTGAGAAGTTATTTAAAAATAAATATTTTTTTATGGTTTATACTTTAGGATTTATCAGGAATGTTTACGATCGCGCGACACGGAACGATGTTTTACTGACAAGTGACACCAAGAATCCAGGGTAGGTATTCGCTATAACTTTCCAAATAGAAAAAAGGTACGGGTAAGTCCGTCCTTGTATCAGGATACAATAAACAACAACAGGTGCACTTTACCCTTAGATTGTGTTCCTTATTTCCGGGGCTCGGGATCTTGTGAACTCGCCATAATATAATATACATCGCTATTTGCTTATTTCTGAATCTAAAACTTTAACTGTGGAATGGGTACGATGGTGTATTGCAATATTATACTGCGAATTGGAAAGTAAATCAGCCATGATGAGTAATTACGAAAACTTGACAGTTGAACGAGTCCGAATGGAATTCCGTACAAAAATAGATCATATCTTAGATTAATATAAATGTTTTTGCAAATAATTATCTTTATCTTGTTTTAGGCTAGATTTTACACAAACAAGGCGAGACTCAGCTGGATAATATATGCCAGTATCATTTAAAACCTAAAGGATTAAGGTTGCCATTCTAAGTTGCATAAAAATAAATATTAAGTCATGCCCACATAAAATTACAATCAAATGGCGGTATTGTTAAATTACAGTGGGGCGAGTTATTGGGCTCTCCAAAATGTTTCGTTCATTGTCCATTTTTCTTGACTGGAGCTGCTTTCTTCTTTGGGTAGTAGAATTATGAAAAAAGATTATGTATAGAATATCTTAAAATGAGGTTTAATTTAAATAAAGATTATTCCAATTCTGCTTTGCTACAATATCAATTTTAATAGCTGTTTTCAAAACTTATGTTTACTGTTATATTGTCCGCAATGCGAAGCGGGACGCCGTGATATAGATACCACATTCACCTAGAAGAAGAAAAGATGAAGTCGAAACAATTATTGGAAATGACAAACACAGAAAGTTCATTAAAGTCCTGTTTTCCAGTTACATATTCGTATAAATGATTTTAATCGTCAACAAATAGATGAAGGAGGAAATGTTTTGTAACTTACATATACGTAGGATTTTGTTTCCCAATAAGTAAATTTTTGTTACGTAAAGAAAAATCGCAATTTAAATCAACACACAATTAATCTTGTAATAACGTACAAGTAAACATAATCGATTATAAAAAGAAATTGTAAAAATCGGTTCAGAAGCAGTTGCATAGTTGCATAACATGTAATAGAATCAAACGAATTGAGGATGATCTAAAGGATTCTTCGTTAAACCGAAAAAAGGATTATAAATGAGTTGAAGGCG